CAAAGATAAAAATTCTTCCACTACACCACCAGCCTCTCCTATGGGATATAAAGCAACCGCTACTGATACTATTAAAGATAAACAAATGGTTACTCAAATGACCCTAGAAACTTTAAACAAGGCACACATTGGGATGTCCAAATCTGTAATGGACAGTGCTGCGATATGTAAAATTGTACCAGAATTATCTACAAAGATTGACCTAATACCATCACCACTTAAAACGTTAGATGATGATGGCGATGAACCTTATAGTCCAGGAGAAATGGACGAAGATGCTACGAATATACAAACAGCAATGCACGATAATACGGATGTATTATCGTCCGCTAAAAATTCTACCGAATTGCAGAGGAAAATGGACGAATTAAATAGACAAATAGAAGAACAAAAACAACAAATACAAAACATTAGCTCTTCGTTTCTAAATGACGCGACACCTACTCTGCCGGTGAGAGCACTGATAATTCAATTATTTTTTAAATGCGATTGTTACTGTTTTTCCTATAATCCCATTGTAAATAAACTGTTTGCATTTACTTCTGGCATCCTATTCCTATCCTCAAGTTGCGTAGATTTTTTTTCAAGTATTCCACTTCATTATAATGTATCAAATAAAATATGTAATGCAATCATTATCATAGATCAATGTGTATTTTTACAAAAAATGATTGATACAAAAATGTTTGTTTTATTTTGATATTGCAATCATGCGATTCTATTTATATATGGAATGTATATCCCTTATTTTTAATGTGAAAGAGTTAATTTTCATTTCGTTAAATATGAAGCACTTTCACTTTTTGTATATAGGTTATATAAATTTGTAAATATTAATAATATTAACGAGATATAATAATTTTGTTTTCTTTTCAGGGATTAGGGTTAGATCCTCCTAATTCAAAGGATTCCGAAGAAGCTTACAGTCCTTCCGATACACGTTCGTTTACACCGCCACCACCGGGACTTTCTAAATTTGCCCAACCGATTTTGGATAAAGTTTCCGATATAACGATACCACCGAATCTACAAGAGATACTTGCGAACGTTAAACGACAAGAATCCTCAAAAGTGGATCCTTATCTTCCGTCTAAGCCTAGTGCTACATTTTTGACTACTGTTAATTCAACAATTTATCACAGTTCGGAAAAATACTCTTCACCTTCCCAAAATAAAGGACCAAATGTAGGCAGAACAAATTCTGAAAAGGCAGCTTTCATAGATGCATCGCAAACTGTTCTTTCGAAAGAAAGTAAGAGTACTTTGAGTACACTCAGTGATTTAGATCTTATAAGAAAAGCAGAAGAGGAATTAGCTGCTGTTGCAGCTGCATCGGCAGTACCGAATGTACCTACTGTGCCTATATCACCTGTTACGCCTTCCGGAACAAATCTTCTAACGCAAACACCTGCCGTAACACCTACGCAATGTGGAAGCTTGACGGCATCACCTACAATTCATCAGCCTATATTGTCACCTCCCATTGTTCACATAGAAACCTCATTCAAGAAGACCTTCGCGCCGGAACAACCGAAACCCCCTGGTCTCGAAGATGAAGATTTTCCTGCATTTCCCTCAACACCACCGACAATGGAAACCATGTCTAAAATGATACCGCGATCGAAGTATGCTAATAAAAGTGGTATTGTGTTAAATGTTAAACGAAAAATAAGCGAAGATGATTCTTCTCCTGCAGTCAAGACTTCGAGGACAAAATCTAGATGGGGTCAAGGGCCATCGGAATAAAATTTCTAAGAGGGATTATTTACTTTGTACTATGTGGAAAGTACTATGGGAGAAAGCATTGCATCATATAAAACATAGTTATGTCATACGTTATAGCGATAAAACAAACTAAACAGTTGAAATACTGTTATCAGAAAATGTCGAAGGGATGAGAAAAGAATTTTCAGTATGAATGAAAATAATGAATTATAAGGAAAAAAAATTCTCTCTTAGTATGGTTAAACAATTCTTTAATTGCTAGATAATGATTGTATTTAATGCATTGGAAATGATTTTAACTTTTTATCTTGTAGAAGAATATTTGCAAAATTGATAACAAAGTGCAATGTATTATTCAATTTGCTTTTAATTATCATTTTTGAATTGAAGGATGATGATTTTATAAGATAGGAATCATATTGACGTGTTCTATCATTATAAAACCATACTATGGTAGAAATTTTTTTTCTATGAGATTGAAAGTAGTTGTAGTAAGAAAGCAGGAATTGGATGATAATATTGCTGGTTCCTTGTTAAAAAATAGCGTTTATTAAAAGTATATGATAAATACATTTTTTTGATGTAAATGTAAAAGATCTCTTAATTTTCGGGAAAAATGACTTTAAAAAGAATTTTAAACATACATGGGTCAATTTAGTTGTAAAATTAAAGAATTGTAGTATCCTCTTATATTTTGTTATATAATTATTTAAGGTCAAAAAGTCGGAAATATTGTTACTATATTATCTATACATGATATTAAGTTGAATTGAAGTGTATGCATAATTTAAGGATACGCAAAGTCATTTCTCTCCAAAATAAAGATTTATATTAAGAAAATTCTTATTTGCATAGAGTAATTTGTTATTTTTATTTTATTTTTTTACAAGGAACCATTTTCCTTTTCCTAGATGTTTCATCATTTCTATTACAGCTTATATTTTGCAAATCAATGTTTTTACAATAATATTTTAAAAAAAAAAACATTGTGCGAGTCACAAAACAGAAATGTGACTCGCGAGTTTTGCCTTTTTTAATTTTTAATTATATATTGCTTTGAAAATATTACCGTTTCCTAGGTATGTAAAACAACAGTTGAAATTATGATTAGGCACATATTTATAGAAAAGTCGAATTTTTTTATTATTAAAATTATCAAATCTATGCAAACGTTATAATCGTAAATACTTATTTTCTTTTATTATTTTATTTTAAAAGATATGTGCGTATATTAATTATCAATTAAATTTCTATATATATTAATTTCGTTTCTTTTTTGGTAGTATCCAAGCATAACCGATGTAAATACCAAAGTGAAAAAGAAATGAATAAACATATAAGCAAACTTAATGATTATTATACCGCTTGAAAATGATGCTTATCAATGTATATAGCTGAATTGAAAGTTGTGTAAAATATATTTTGTTAAAAATTGCCTGGGGTAGGAATAAATAATTCCAGGCTTATCTAAATCACGTTAAATGATATCAATGTATATAAGTTAGACGACGTTTTCATTTTATTGAAATTCATTTTAATTGGTTGTACATTGTAAATGATAATTGATCCATGTACCGATAATTATGAAAGTGGATTGAGTAAAAAAATTGAAAAATTGTATTTTATGATTATTTTAGATTAAAATAATATATTATATAATATATTATATCTAAAATAAATCATAAAATAGAATTATTCAATTTAATTCAATTTCATAATTCCCGCAACCTATATAAGATATACATTATATATTATTTCAATATTTGATTTTATTGAAATATCTTGTAAATGTAAAATAGTTTCATACGTGACATTTCTTTTTTAAGAAATTAATTACAACAAGAAACGAATTATTTTCTTTATAATTATATAAAAGATTTGACACTTTGAAAGGCTTTAAACTATATGTTTGATCTTCCTAGCCGCCACACGAGTTATTGCTGATATATCAAACTTCCACATGTGTTATGTTATATCCCACATAAACAAGCAGTTCCATTAAGTAAATGTTTATAACGTTTAAACCGATATCAAAAAAGTTACTGCAATTGTTCTATTCGATACTATGAAAAATAGTTTCAATTTCAATATTTTGTTTTCTACAAAATATAAACATAAACGGTGCACATAATTCATATACATTGAAAATATTCATTTTATTTTATTTTTTCTTATTATTATTCATTTATCATAATAGCAATTATATATTAAAGCAATTATCATAATAACAATTATCTCTATATATATATATATATATATATATTAAATAATTTGTTTATAAATCTTTCTGATGCCGATCAATAATGTAGTTATATTTTAAACTAACGTTCTGTTAATTTGTTTAAATGTGGCATCAAATACTTGTTCGCATATATCATAGCACATAGTTTTCGGGTTCTAGCATATTATCATTATACACAATATATCATATTATACTATTAAGCTATTTAGCAAATAATTACATATGTGAAAGTACCCATGCATCTAGTGCATTATAATCAAGTTAATTTGCATACATTCTCAGAAATATGCCTTTCAATATGCAATATGTTCAGTGTATACTTTTTAGAAAGTAGTCATTTTAATATCTACTTTTGTATATCCTTGGATGATACAGCAAAATAAAAATCATAATGTATTATCACAAGTAATATCACAAATGAGATGGCATGAACCAATTAATTGTACCCATTATTATTATTATTAT